CCCCGCTCAGTGCCCTTCCAGTATTCCATTGAAGCAAATGGGTACGAGAGTGACGTGGTGAGCTTCACCTCCCTGCTGGACAGCCCCCACTCGACGAGCGACCTGGACTTCACGGCGCAGAACGAACTCCTTCGGCAAGAAGTCCGGAAGATGCAGCAAGGCAATCTCGCTCGGGAGGAGCTTCGCCTACAACTGGACGGGCACGAGGACGCACATGGAAACGGGCAAGATCTCGGCGACGGGGACGCTCCATCACCACATCTCCCATCGACGCCAGCTGGATCATCATCCGGGACCCATGCATCTAGCCCCAGTCCATCATCGTCGAACCCGACTGAACCAAACACTTCTGCATCAACTGGATCCTCCAGCATGCGGCGCCTGCAAGTCACCAGAGCCAGCACGCGCGGGAAGCCCACCAGCGACGATCATATCGACGTCAACTTGGTTCCTGCCAATCTGGAAGTCATCATGAACGACCGCGGTCGAGCCCATGCTACAACGGGCTGCGCAGAGCCATCCGGTCTTTCCTTCACTCAGCTGGCTGAGATAGCCGATCAAGCCCAGCTCCCATGCCCTGGCGATACTGAGGATTTCGCCCACGTTGCGGAAGACCCCTTCACGGTGCCGCGTGCTCACGCCTACGTCACGACCACTCACGAACACCACGGGATCTTGGAGGAGACGAATCAAGCGATCAAAATCCCCAACGCCTACGACGAAGCCATACGCTCTCCCCAGCGCGAAGAATGGAAAGGAGCGTGCAGGAAGGAAATGGACAATCTGCGGAAATACAACGTCTACAATCTGGTGCCCCTCAGCAGTGTTCCCAAGGGGGAGAAGATCCTCGGAACGAAATTCGTCTACAAGAGAGGACAGTTTCAGCTAGCGGCGTTTACGGATTCATCCTTCGGAGTAAACCCCGACAACGGAAGATCTACCACGGGATATCTCCTCTTTCTGGCTGGAGGACTCATCAGCTACGGTGCGAAGACTCAAACTCTAACCGCGCAAAGCACGGTCGAAGCCGAGATTCAAGTACTTACCTACTCAGCAAGAGAGGCGGTCTACATCTGAAATTTATGACGGAACTCAACTCCAAGACCTTCGGATCGGTTCCCATCAACAGCGACAGCACCGGAGCGCTGACCGTGGCCAGGAATGCCATGCACTCTCAACGCACGAAGCACGTGACCCTGAGGTACTTTTTCATCCGGGAGCTAGTACTACGGGGAAAAATCACTCTTCACCACCGGCCCGGCGAGCACCAGTTGGCTGATATCGCGACCAAGTCCCTCCCAAAGCACCGATTCGCCTCCATCATTCAGCAGATTAAGGACTTCTCGTGTTGATCAAAGATCTGTGAAGCTCCCTTCCATACGAGAAGGAATTTATTTTCGATACGGTGCCAACGGAGGGGTCGAGGTAGACAAGGATATGGTGATGCCGTCGACCATTGTGAATTAGTTGCTTGATCGAGGGGTCGTGTCAGGGAAATCGTGCGTCGAGACCACCAGTAGTCGGACACGGTTTGACCTTTGAATACGATTGCAGCAACTAGTCTGCGTAGCAGTAGAAAAGTATCCATCTCTCCTTGGCATGTATTCTCTTGCTCTAGAAATATTCCGGAAGCATACTAGGTCAAGGTTGACCGGGACATCTATGTAGAACGTGTGTAGCTTCTGGAAGCCTTCTGGAAACTTCTGGTTCCTCCTGTAGCCTCTGGAAGTCTTGCTGGAAACTTCTGGTTCCTTCTGCAAGCTTCTGGAAGCGTTCGAGATCTAGGTTGCAGTTGATACTCTTCTAGAACGTAGGAGGGCTTCCAGAAATCATTCTGGACGCATTCTGGATCTTTCGTGTGATTGGCTTATTTGTCCGGTATTCGAGAAGAGTGGTGCAGCCCTAAGCTCGCCCACTCCTCTCACTCCTCTTCAGTACCAGCAACATCTGACTCGAGAGTCAGCAACTAATAAAAGCATCTTCATATTTCCATTCCAAGTCTCTCGCGGTTGGAGACGCACAGAGTGTGAACCTCT